ATTATGTGAAATAACATAATATTTTTAATGCTGCCAAAATGGCCTTGAGCGCGTCTCAGCTCTCAAATCCATACGGAAAATGCAGAAAAACGACGACAATCATCGTATAATGCTGCAATATATAAAATTAACAATATTACACTGAAAAAAGGTTCGTTTCAAAATAAAAACATAATAAGGTAGAATGTAGTCGACGTGTAACAATATAATWGTTCAATAGTTTGTATCTTCTGAGAAGTACTAAAAATATTATTACGACGTATATTATTGTCGTTARTGTAACAATATATACATTTTTTCATCTCGTCGAAATTATTTTGACAGGGTCTGGTACAGAAAATATACATAAAATTAAAACACAGAATTTTAGGCTTATCACTAAGTATCACAATTCTTATGCCATATTATATTATTTTATTATAATACGTAACAATTTTAATGAAAATATACGAAAAAAATTTTTAAATGGGTTATATCTTTTAATGGCATAAAAAAATTGTATACAAATATATCATTTAATTGATAACCGTCACTTTGGTAAGTATAAAACAGTATATCGAGAGGCAAAGGCGGGATGCGAGCTACTTCAGTCGAGGGTCACACATTCCACCCAAGATTGAAATTGTCTGCCTGTACGATCTGTACGTCATACAATTTTTATCAAGCCCTGTGTTCATCGATAATAGCATAGATAATGCAGAGATCAACGTAACAACTAGRCTATTCTAAGAAAACTATTTCACGGAAGAAACATCATTTTCTTTTGATGTAACAACCATCATAATGAATAAACAGGTTTATAAACTTATCGGTAACGGCCAACGCACATTAAGCAGGAACAATGCAATTTAAATATGTTTAAATGATTACGCSTCATTTKAGGAGGTTATAATATGAATAAAGGATGAAACCAAATTTTATGTTCTGTAAAGAGACAGTGGTTATAGATTKAAGTGCCTGGTTGTGATACGCTTTGCACTTTTTGGGGATTTACACTTAATTACCCTGCTTATCCTTGTTAAAAACAATCAAATTAATATATGATTACAAAAAAAGACGTTATAGATATGTAGTCAAAAAAAATGTTTTACAATAATACAGTGAAACATCTTTACAACGAAATATCGGAGAGCATCAAAATAAATTCGTTAAATAAAAYAAAATAAATTTGATTCTAACTTGGTTATAGATTTGTGATTCTCAAAACAAATTTAATCATAACAAAAAGTGCAATGGAAGTTAGTTATACCAAAGTTTCAATGTATAAGAATCGTCTACATAATATCAAACCTTTATAACCTAGGTATTAAAAACTGTATATAATTAAATTTCATATAATATCAAATTTTGTCGAAATATTCAAAAATATAATCATWTAATTATCATCAAAATGCTGAAAAAAATTATTCTATAGCTTAATGATTCATAAATATTATTATGAAAAAAATCAATAGTAAATGTCATCAAAGTCATGGGTCTATATAGGTATAATAATATATAGTCAAATGGTCATGTTGATAATAAGAGATAAATGCACGACKAAAATAATTTCCTGTGCGAATTGTGACAACCGTTTACCAGGTAACAGCGAATTTTAAATCTAACAATAGACTCGAAAAATGATTGCTGTCGTAATAGATTATAATATTATATTATACCATATACTCGTACACGCGTATTGCCTCCGACACCTCTGCAAAAACTCGATGACATAATGATATATAATTCTGTCAATTAACTATCCACGATAACTCAATTCGATCGAACAGCTATTAATAAAAATTAATGTTAAGACCTAATTACTGCTTTTATATATTGTTTATTTCGCAACTTTGTCTAATAATAGCTTATATAACTCGCATATAAACAAGATAAATATTTAAATTTTTTTCTTTTTGAAACTGTCAACTAATATGAAATCTTGTGTAAAAATCATTTAATATAATCTTTTTAATCTATATTGTAATTGGCTAACTGCGTGTCAAATTAATAAAATAACAAATAATTATAAAAATGTATTTTACTATAACAAGCATGATGACAGACAGAGTAATATTGACAACTTAACGAATTAGCATGCTCGTCCGTTTCAAGAACCTGTCGAAGTCTCTGGCTGGCAAAACTCAGTCGTTTTTTAAACGTTAAAACGCTTTACCTATTACACTCGTATTATACGATATTATGTATTTGATTGACAGGCTTTTCAGATCCACTTATCGTCGTTATGAGTGGACGTTTTTAATACGGAAAAGAATTACCATGATATGACTAATGAATTGGATTATTTTAAACGCATATAATACGATAATTATTATACATAACGCATCGCATTGTTCATATTGTATTACACGTCATAATGTTTTATTAACTGTCTCAACCATATATAAAACACCATACGGATATACTGGTGTATATTATGTAGGTATATATATAATCATATAAAGCGCATCAGGCTTCTTCGGTTCCTCATTATAATAATATATTAAATATTTAAATAATACGATTTGTCCAACTATAGGATGATAGGAGCTTAATATGCACATTTTAAAATAAATTATATTGTAAAGGGAGGCAAAAAATTACTTTCACCTAAACATTTCATACTTACGAATGTTGAATATTTTACAACTTTTCTTTAATAACAATAATATACTGTACATTWAAAAAWAATATTTTCTCATCGAATATCGAATTGATATTATATTTCATTACAATATATTATTATAATTTATAAGTAAGAATATTTAMGTTCATACCAATGATAACCTATATCACTTAGTGTTATATTATCACACATTTTTTTCTATTTCATACGAGTAGGTATCAAGCTTTAATATTATTGTTTAAATTTCAATAGGAATTGTGCAATTTCATAAAAAMAACTGTATAATATTGATATTGCAATGTTGGGTAGTTACTATAACTTGACAGAAAATTAAAGACAAAATAACTAATTGGTATTTAATATTTATTCATAATAACTTTCTAGCTTAACTAATTATATCAAATGCAAAACTCATCCAATTTGTCGAATTAAAAACGAAACTTTTTTAAATAACTGCAAACATTCAAATGTTTCGTAATACTACCAGCTTATGATTTTTATATGCTGAATAGATAATAATAAAATTAATAATTAGTACWAAGTATTTAATTATATAACTATGTAAATTACATTTATTATTACTTTAAAGTTTGTGGTTTATACTGACATTTATTATCTATTGTCTTAGTGGTGCCATTAACTACTATCACTGCAGCTATACATCCTATATCTATATTTTAATGAATAACATTCCTATTAGGTAAAGTAATTATTAGTAAGAAATAAAGGCCAGTACTTGGAAAATTTGGTTAAATAGGTAATTAATTAATTATTACTATATTTAATCATCAATCAACACTAATA